CAAAAAAAAAATTGTTTTTTTTTTTTTTTTTTTTTTTGCGGGGTGCCTACCGATCGCCGACTGGTCGGCGTCGACGGCGCCTACCGTCGGCTGGTCGGAAGCCGACGGGTCTCCGGCCGCCTACCGTAGTGGTGACTACCCTGGTGCTACTACTAACTTTGTCTCCACACGGGGTATGCAAGGTGGGCTTGGGAATAAAGCAAGTGGAGTTGCAGGTCCCTTGTCAGACCCAAATAGGAAACAAAAAAGTTGTCTCCTCCACTCATGCGGTCAAAAGGTATGTGCACTACCTTTGATAAAGATAAGATAGTCACACATGAACTCAAGTTCTATATGCTTGATAAATGCCCTTTCGACGCGGTCCTTGGGTTGGGTTGGCTACGGTCCCAATGCAAGTGGACTAAGTGGAAGGCTGATCTCTTTGTGGTGCATGAGGCTTTGGGGAATGAACGCGCAGTATTTACTAGATAAGAAGAGTTAATCCCAAGTGACTTATCTTAATGCAATGCAATTCTGCAAGAAGTGGTGCAAGCACAAGGAGGACGAACAGTTGTATATTTATACTTCTCCATCCACTTCTAGTCCAAATGATTCTACTTCATATTCGGTTGCCTTCTACTAATCTGCGACCTGATTTAGGTGATCCTTTTCATGATTCCCTATCCCCGGAAATCCCAACAAACATCCAAAGCCTGCTCAACTGTTTGTCGGAAGTTCTGGCCGAACCACGTGGAGTCCCCACGCAATCGGTCAAACACACAATCGAGTTGGTTAAAGGCGTTGTTCCTCCAAAGGGCTCCATATGTGTATTGATTACCGCGGTCTAAATCGCATCACAAGAAAGAATGCGTATCCATTGTCACGCATTTATGACTTGCTTGACGTTGCAGATGGGTGCAAGGTTTTCTCCAAGATCGATCTCAAGTCTGACGCCTACCAGATTGAGGTAAATCCTGCAGACCAGCACAAAACTGCATTCAAAACTCGCGATGGGCTATACAAATTCACCGTTGTGCCCTTCGATCTCATGAATGCACCTGGCACCTTTCAAAGTCTCATAGACAAGGTACTCCAAGAACAAATTGATCGATTTGTGGTTGTCTACCTTGATGACATTCTGATTTTTCAGCTAATTGGTGGAGGAACACTTGAGACATCTTGAAGAAGTGTTCAACATCCTCAAGAAAACGCAGCTCCACCTCAATTTGGAGAAATCTGAGTTTGGGAGGGACACCGTCATCTATCTAGGACACCGGTTGTCTGCTGCAGGCCTTGAGCCTGAGGCAACCAAGGTTGAGGTCATACGCGATTGGCCTCAACCGACGAATGTCGTGAACTGCGTTCTTTTCTTGGCCTCACATCATACTATCGGAAGTTTGTGCCCAAATTTTCTATCATTGTGCGCCCTTTGTCCAAACTAACAAGCAAAAAGGTATCTTACACCTGGGATGAAGCATGTGACACTGCCTTTCAAGCCTTGAAAGAGGCCAATATGGGATTGGCGCAGTGCCACAACAAGATGATGGTGATGACTTGACTCCGTTAGAATACTACAACAAATTCATGCCCAACGAAAAGGTAGGTACTTCCACTTACATGCGAGGACTTTATGCTTTGCGCATGGCATTGGACTACTGGAAGTACTATCTTTTGGGACGCCACTTCAAAGTCTTCTCAGATCCCAATACTTTGAAGTGGATTAAGGAGCAAACTACCTAGTCCCCTACATTGACTCGCTGGTTCCATAAGATTGACATTTTTAATTTTGAATTAAAACACAAGAAGGGTTGTTGTAATCGAGTTGCTGATACATTGTCTCGCCACCCAAAGTATATGACTTGCCTTGTGAACTCCTACGACCTCCAGAAGAAACTGAAGGAGGAACTCGTGGAACAAACTGCCAAGGACCCAGACCTCAGTTCAATTCTTGAGCAGTTGCGGGATGACCCCAACAGTCAGCCTGATTTTCACGAATGCGAAGGCCTGGTTTTCTGACACTACGGAAAGAATGATCGTTTGTGTGTGCCCAACCATGAGCCTCTCCGCACACATTTCTTGGATTTGGCTCACGGGCAGAGTGGACACTTCGGCATTGCAAAAGCCAATGGAAACCTGTTGCAACAGTTTGACTGGCTTGGTATGAAAGGATCTGTTGAAAAGTTTGTGGTTGAGTGTCAAGTCTGTCAACGAATCAAATTGTCAAGGCAAAACCTCATGGGGCTGCTCAATCCTCTTCCCATTCCCAACAGTCCCGGAGAGTCCATCTCTACTCGACTTCACAGATATGGGAAAAACAAGTAAGCATGGATATTCGCAAGTGATGGTGATTGTTGACCGTTTTTCCAAATTCCTAAATTTGATTCCATTGCCATCTCATGCCCCAACTGAACTCGTGATCCATGAGTTCCACCAGAAGTACATTCTGCAGTTTAGGACCCCGAAAACCCTTGTGAGTGATCGGGACCCGGGCTTCATAAGTACTGATTGGAAGTGACTTCACGTCCCAACTCCCTGGCCTCAAACTGAAGATGACATCTGGTCGACATCCCGAAGCCAATGGTTTGGCTGAGGAGGTTAATCGGACTGTGTTTCAGCTTCTCCGTGCCTTAATCAATATGGATCAGGAAAAGCGGGATGAAGAGCTCTATTTGGTCAAAGGTTTGTACAACAGCTCCATCCATTCTTTCACCGACATGATGCCAAACAGGCTGCATTATGGTTGGAAGATCTGTAATCTTCTCTCCTACTTATCGCTTGAACAGCCGGTTCGCCTGACCCTTGGCAGGTCGGGCTTCAACGCTAAGTATGATCACTTGCTCAAGGTTGCCATTGCAACAATGACCAAGCTACAACATGCCATGATCCATCATGCAAATAAGAAGCGCACACCATCGACCATCAAAGTAGGAAGTTATGTTTGGGTTAAGATGTCTAGATTTTCGAAAGAAGAGGGGGTGTCATGCAAACTTCTCCCTCTCTATTATGGCCCGTGAGAAGTCCTGGATGTGATTGGTGAAGAAAAGTTTGGTCCTTCATATGTGATTGTTGTGCCTCCTCATCTGCACACGTACCCAGTCTTTCATGCATCTAAGTTGTTTCCATATCGTGATGCTAAAACCTTCAAATACCGTGAGAACATGATACCTCCTCGTGCAGTCAAAGACGGTCACAAGATAGATAGAATTAAAAATCACACTGGCGAGGGACGTAACAGACAGTATCAGGTTCATTTCATGTACCACCCGTTGGATGATCTCTTTAGTATCTCTAAGAAGGAATGCTGCGCAACACACTTCGCATTGTGAAAGCATACGAACGACAAATAGCTTTTGATGTTGTTCCAAAAATCTTTGCAGAACTCACAACTACCGAGTATTCACAGAATCTCTTCGTTATGTTTGCTTACGATGCGTTTGCCACTCGGAATGAGTTACTCGCTCGAAGGGACCTTGCTCTTGATGGGGGGGTAGTGTAAGAACCTGCCAAACACAGACTGAGAGACACAACTGATTTCTGAGTTTTGCCAATGGAATGTATCACTTGCTGAGTTTCCCGCTTGTTGCTGAGTTTTCTAAGTCTGTGTGTGTGCGTGCTTGCTGGTCTGTGTGCCTGTCGGTTTGAGTGTGTGTGACCTGCAAGGGTACTCGTTCGTTCGGGAGGCCCAAAGGGCCGGTACTTACCTGTGGCCATGACATTGAGAGTTGCAGCGGGGAAAACACTCAAGTGGCGGGAAAGAGGCCTGTGACACTTCGAAGCAGCGGAGAAACACTCAAGTAGCAGGTAGGCCGGTACCACACCAAGTAGCGGTAGATGCGTCGGGTACTCAAGGCTGAGCAGAAGAAGACAAAAGTTGGCAGTTTTAGAGGCCCAGTAGTTGTAGGCTAGGTCTAGGCGGGTACCAGTCCAAGTAGTGTGAGTCTAGGGCCTGTACGGGCAATACCAGAGTCTGCAATGATGTTTCCCTCTGAAAGGGAGGAGGTACCTGTTGCTTGGAGGCCGCACGGCCTGGAAGTCACTGCCCAAGAGGCAAGCAGGCCACTATATCTCCAGGAGGAGCGAAGTGCTCCTCCTCATTCTACGGTGTGCAAGTTTGGCGACACACTGCTTGGAGCAACGCTGCTGGGGAGGAAGGGGCGCCAGCCTCCCCACCTCGGCTATGCTGGAGGAGCACGGGCCGGAGGAGGAGGAAGATGAGGACTAGGAAGCGGGGAGCGCCAGCGGTACTTATTTGGCTATGGTGGACGCGATCTTCATCACCTTGGTGGGCACTGCATCTGGAAGGCCCCAGTTGGGGTAGAGCTACACCAAGAACCTTCGAGGCAGAGTCAGGCACGACAGCCTGAGCTAGAGCAGCCATAGCTGCTTTGAGTTGTCTTTTGGACATCGGGGCAAGGCCCTCGCAGTCTGCCATAGCCTCGGCCTTCAGGAAGAGGGAGGAGAATGGTGGCCATGGCTATGGTGGACCTCATGTTGTACCTGCAGTAGAAGAGGGATTCAGACATTGGTTCTGGTTCAGCCATTCAACATCATTATTATTATTTATTGTTGGCCATGGCTATGGTGGACCTCATGTTGTACCTGCAGTAGAAGAGTGATTCGGACATTGACTCTGGTTCAGCCATTCAACATCATTATTATGATTTATCGTTGAATAAGAGGGAAGGAAAAAAGGAGGAGGAGAGTGGTTGGCGAGAAGAAGGGAATTATCATTGGTCTTTGCTGGTGTACATCTTCTTCTTCTTCTTTCTTTCTTCTTCTTCTTCTTCTTTCCCTCTCTCTCCTATCAAGTTCATTCATTTCTTTTGCAATTGGACGGCATTGTGATTTCTCATGAATTTTGTACTTCGAAATTGGCCAGGATCATAACAAGTTTGAGGAAGTGTCTCAGCAAAAAATTGTTCCAGATGACGTTTCATAAAGTTATATCACATTTATTGTCTTTGGGTTTGTTGTGCGAGGATATGGGTCCTCGGCATGCCTAAGGGCCCCCCTGCAGCAAATGTGCCCACCCTAAGTGAAGGCGGGCCTAACAAATCGCCAGAGGCCCTAAGCTGTCAAATTCATATTTGGGGTCCAGGCAGTTTCGTCGCGCCAGTTGGTTGAAGGAAAACACAGGCTGAGCAGTGTGGAAAATTCCCAGGCCTTCTAGGCCATTCCGAAAGCACTGGCCCTGGGCGAGATTCGCAGCCTCATACACAGACAGTTGGGAGGCCCAACAGAATGAGGCCCAGTAGCTGCACCAGAGGCGCAGCATCCTGGGGCCTACCGGAAGCTTCTGGGCCCAGGCCAGTCCAGCCAGGCTGCCGAACGAGGCAGGCACTTTCCATATAGGAAAGAGCTCGCTGCCTGGCCAGGCATTCGGGCACTTGCATGCTGGCGGCAACGCTGCTGGAGCTGAAGCTCTTGGGCTGCTGCTAGCGCTGAGCGGCGAGGTGCAAGCACGTGCGGTCGTGCAGAGAGCAGGGCGCTGCTGAGGGCAGCGCATAGCCCAGCCTCCATAGCTGGCGGGTTTGGATGTACAGTGAGGCGCAGGGGTGATCTTCGGGTTTACAAAGGGAAGACGTGGGAGAAAGACAAGGGAGGGAGAGAGAAGGACGATGATGATGATGATGTGAGGGCACATACCTGGTATTGGCGATGGTCTGCATGGGCGACATCTTCAAGTACTTCAGAGGTTGCTGACGTCAACAGTTGCATTGTCAATTAGTAGGCTAGTAGTAGCTGTGTAGGGAGTAGGCTGGGCGCYKARCGCCAAGTAGGGAGATAGGGACTGGATACATATGTTGGTGGTGGCGAGAGCAAGCTCTCATTGACATTGGTTTTCAGTGCTACGATTCTCCATTGGTGTTATATTGGTGCAATGCTGCTTTCTGAACACTGTGATACGATCTGGCTTTCAATGTGATTGTGCAATCTGAATATTGTCATCTCGCTTCTGTCCATTTTCCTTGCAATTTGGTATCGGAGCTGGTTTGAACTGCGCTCATTGGTTCTTCGCAATAGTTGTTCGGTGCTTCGCATGAGGTGTGGGGCAGTGATAAGGCTTGGGCGTTGAACGGCAAGCGGCCCAAGGTCGTGTGGCGCGCCAGGAAGCTATGTGGTGACAGTAGGGCTGTACGCTGGATGATGAGAGCTCGCTGATGTGGCATTTAAGCCGAGGTGGAACTGCATTCTGCTGTTGGTTGTGCCGAGGCAAAGACCGGTCATCATAAATGCACATCAGGTTGCCGGTGAGAAATCTGTGGTTGGGGGCAGCATTATGAGGTACGTTGCTTCCTTCCTTATCTACCCTCTTCATTGCTTTTTACCGTGAGGAAGTGAGTTCTGTCTTGAGAGTCCTCTCAATGTGAGGTGTCGCGAGCGCTCAACCTTGAGAGTCGACATTCTTCCTGGGCAGCAAGCTGGTGGGAGACGGGCAAAGCCTCTGAAGGGCCCTTGACGAAGCACTCAGGTCACGGTCACCATGCCAACCCGCTGGGACTAGTACACACATGCTTTGCTGCAAGTCCTTGGTTCTGCTGCTGCGCAATAGAGGTCATGCAGGGCATGCCAGCCCTTTGAACAGATGCTTACCAGACCATCTTTAAATATTTATGGCGGGGACTCGGATCTGATTCTGGCTGTGATCGTCGTCCTGTCTGCGACGTTAAATAATTCCTGAGGAGTTACGGGGGATCTCCTTAAATGCCTCCTGATTAGCCAGATCAAACCGGGTGTAAGGCTCGTTGCATGCGAGGATAAATAATGTGCATGGGCTAGCAGGTTCGGCGTTGACTTGGGGCACAGGAGTGGGCCGGATTGCACACCTTTAGACACGCTGCTCAACCAGATGCCTAGGAACGTTGACACAAAAAGACTACTCAAGAGGGATACAGGGAAAGGGTTGGATTCCGACAACTTTTCGCCGTGGCATTGATTAGATAAACAGCCATTCAGCATACATCTCTGCAGGGAGCATTATTTTTATTTTTGATTATTTAGTTGTTACAGACTTGATTGACAACTGACAGACAACTGCAAATAGAGTAGTATATTCTTTGTTGCATTGCAATCTGTATTAGAGTAATCTAAAAATAGATTTAATATTCCCTGTAGGATCTGACACTGGCCGACACCTAACCACCTAACTATTTCTGTCCAGGCCGACCGAAGTTAGTTGTGTATCCTAATCGGTTGTGTGTCATGCTGAGGTAGGATTCAGTGTGGATTCTAGTTTAGATCACACACACTGTACCTCATGAGTGATGCAAGTACTAGTGAGGAGTTGTTAGTGGATGACCGTAGGACTACTCGTAGAACTGCTCTCAGTCGACCTTTGACTTTCCTAGAGTTAGGTCCAGGAGACGAGAGGAGACTGCGGAGAGAGGTTAGAGAGAGAACAACGGCAAGAAGAGCGAGGGTGGTTGAGTCCAAAGCCAGGTCTAGGATTACAGCTAGCACCGGTACGACCATGGCTACTTCCTCTACCATCTCGCAGGCCTCTTCACAGGCCACTTCGTCAGGAGTCAGTCAAAGTGGTTTTCGGGCTTCCATTAGCCAGAGTGCTGGCTTGCAAGTCAGCCGGCAGGCTCAACTCACGCCGGAGGATTATGAGATCCTCCAAGCAGAAGAACTTCAGGATGAGTTGCAGTGGCAGTTGGATGAAGCAGCAGGGAGGAGAAAAAGAGCAATTATGAGAAAAGCTAGACTAGGTAGGAGATTGCAGGAGCTAAGCAGATTAGAATCATTAGATGAGTCAACAGTTGACCCTGCGATGCGAGCTCTGCGTAACTCGCTCCTGTGTGTGGCGGAGACGCAGGTTGTTCAGCAGGAAGTGTTGGCTGAATTAGTGGCAGGCCAGAAACGAATTCTGGCTGCACTACAGGCTCCTTGTCCAGTGATGAGGCAGCCTCAGTTTGCTGTAGCTCCCCCATCGGTTGCGGGTCCATCGATGATGCCGTCGCCGGTTGGACCCTCATTCTCACCTATGTTTGGCATGCCCCCTCCAGGTGGTTATGTGGCGACTAGTGGTCCGTTCCTTAGAGTCTCTGCCGTACCATCGACGACAGTGGTAACTACAGTCCCACTGCTAAGCCGGGCCCAGGTTAGTGTGCAGCACCCTGTTTCGGTGGCTATGCAGCCACTGCAGCAAGCCCCTGGGCCAATGCAGCCTATGCAATGGATGCCCAAAATACCCTTGCTGAGTATTAAGCCCTTCTCCGGCAACAGGAAGAAGGATGAGGACTTGGACACCCGGGTAAGGATGGTGCCTACCTATGTGAGGCACAAACTTGTGGAACGAAAAAACGAGTTAGGGGAAATTAATCACCTTCCGTGAGTTAGGGTGCCCTTGAAACTCAAGTATTTTCAAGTGGTGTCGAATGAGGCCCTAAGACTAGCTGTCCTTTCGCATCTGTTTTCATTTTGGCCCAGGCAGGCATCCTCTCATTCAACTCTTCTGCCACGCCTGTCAGGGAAGTACCTAGAGAGACTCTAACACAAGCAGTCTCTGGACATCTATCTAGGAACTGGCCAGCAGCCTCTCCCGTAGGCTCATCTGGTTTGAGAGTTCCTCTGTGGTGCGCGCATTGTTCTCCACATGGCCTAGGGGTAAGGGCAGTTGTGACCCCTACCGGCGGTTGCCTTTTGCTGCTTGTGCAGCATAACAGGTTTCTCTATACTTTGGACAATATTTAATTATGTGACCAGGATCACCGCAATAAATGCACTGATCCTGATCCACACGTCGCTGCCACACTTATTGGTCCAAGCCCAAACCTTCCCATGGCCTGCCTTATGGCCAGCTTGGGTGCCATCCACCCCTTCTTGGGGGTGACCGATAAGATCGTGGGCGATTTGGCAGGGGAACTTAACCCCTACCTCCCTCTTGGCGGTTTCCTCTGCCTCCAAACCCCCTGAGCGCCCTGTCCTCGGCCACTTGAGGCCCGACCCCCTCGGCCCTGGCCTCCTCTTCCTTGCGGCCTCTCTCTAGCCGCGACAGCAGCGTAGGTCCTCCCCTGACCACCACTACTGTCCTCTTCCTCTAGGCCCCACTCGATCTGACTATATGGGACCTCGTCCATACCACCTTCATCTAAAGTGAGGATCAAATGATCCTTGGCCCTAACCTGACTAGAGATGGTACGACCTTTCCACTTTTTCCCCTTGTCCAAGTCCTTATGCCAGAAAGTGGAAACTGGCATGGGTTGTGCCTCAAACAACACCACCTCCCTACTCAACGTATCATACGTCATGGTGGGCGGCCTACTCTTTTCGAAGAAGTGCCCACGCAGGGGCTCTAGCATGGCATGATAAAATAAGTTAACCAGCTGGGTCTCGATGACCCCGTGGTCTGGGACGACTACCAGCTCGTCCATTACGCCCTTGAGTGCTCTTGCACTCCTCCACTGGCATGAGTGGATGGTTTGCAGTTTGTCTGAGGCCCTTACACCTCGCGTGACATCTACAAATTGCTCTCTAAGCAGTCGAAAGAATTCAGGGAGAGGAGTGATCTTGGAGTATGCTACCATGTTATTTTCGCACGGTGCAGCGCGAGCGAGTGATCTGGCGAAGCTGGCTGCTTTGTCTTTGAGGGCCTGGAACGCAATGAGGACCTGTTCCTCAGCTATAATCTTCTGCAGATAAACGTACGTATTAACAATCACTTCCCAATTGTCAAAATTTTCTTCCTTCTTCCCACTATAGGGTTTAGGAAACTTAATCTTCACGGGCTCTCTACGGGGGCGTACTTCCTCCTCCTTTGGAACGGCCAGCTTTGCGCCTTCAATGACGCCTGTGCAAAAGTTATTTGTGCCCTCTATCCTCGCTTGCATTTCTGCACCTACGTGCAGTAGCATCTCGCATGCAAAGTCCCTAAAACCCAGGCGAATGGAGTATAAGGCGATGTCCTGGGCTCTAGCAAACTGATGTTGCTCGTCCCAGGCTTTAGCTAAGAGTTCTATATTTTGTGTAATAATATCAATTTACCCTGTATGTCTACTTGTGCTTGTATCTGCTCTCTCTGCTCCTTTATCGCCTCCAACTCCTTCGCCATTTTGTTCGCCGCCTCCATTCTTCTTTTCTTCTCCCTTGTAAGACGCAACTTCCATTCTAGCTTTTTCTCTTCCTCTATTGTCTGGCGTCTCAAGGGATCGTCTTCTGCCTCCAACTCCCTTATAACCGCTTCCTTCTCCTTCGGGGGAACATACAACGTCGCTTCTTCTTCTTCCCCCAGGGACAAATTCGCCACCCACTCAGAAACCTTCTTCTCTAACCACGACCCCTCCCTCTTCGTGCCATTGGATTCCCCTTTATCCCTAGTGCACCTTCTGATAAGGGGAACCTCCTCCTTTTCTTCTTTTATCTCTTCCTCTTCTACCACTTTCATTTTCTCTTCCTCCTCCTGCTTCAATATTTCCATTTCCTCCTCCAACTTCTTCCTCTTCGCCGCCTGCTCCTCCTATAGGGCCAACTTTTTGGCCTGTCTTATCAACTTCTTATTGGCCTCCTTCTCTTTTCTCTTTCTAAGTACAGCGGCGGCTTGCTCTTCCTGAGCCTTTGTGTAAGGGGTGGTACTCTTTCCACTACGTAGGTCAACCATGGTGAAGGGTGCACAACTAAAATTCAGTTCCACTCCTCACCACTTAGACTCACACCCCTGACTGACTTAACTTAGGACTGACTCTACTAAGGACCACAAAATCTTGGTAAGATCCTGTCAACTATGGTCTCTAGCCTAGACCTAAAGCTAAGGCCGTCGCTACAGGACTTCCTGCTGATCAGGAGGCATTTAGGCCTACCGTGCCACACTGAGCAGCCTGCCGATCTGTACCGGTCCTTGGGAGGGTTCGTGTCTTCAGGTCAGTCAAGTGGTCAGACACAACCTTTAGCCCTACTCAACCCGTGTGGGTTTGGTCAACAAAGCTCTATGACCCCATACACAGAGTTCCTATCACTTGGACAGAAGAGACTCAATGCAGAAAGAAGAGACAGACAAACTCAGCAAGTACCATGGGGTGACTGCACATCCATAGGGCGAGGGGATAGGCTGAAGGCTTGGCGAGAATATACCAACTCCAGCTTGGTCAATTTCGTGGTCAACAGCCCCGGTCAACGCTGGTCAACGCTTGGTCAACTCGTCGGTCAACGCCTTGGTCAATGACAGTCAACTTGTCGGTCAACTCTCCGGTCAAAGTCTTGGTCAACCCTCGATTCGGCTATGGCTGCCGACCCCTTTCTTCCTCACCAACCTTCTTTATCCCCCCTCTTCCTCCTTCCTCCTTTCTTCTTTTTTCTCACTTCACCCCGGCTATGGCTTCCTTCACTTTCGTTATCCCTCCTTCCGTCTCCCTAGCTATGACTTCTTCTCCTTCGTCTCTCCTCCCTTCTCCTTCGCTTCACCTTCCTCTTTCCTAGTAGCCCTGTGTCCGAGCTCCGCAGCTATGGCCACTTTCTCTCTTGGTCCACACAACAATCTTGCATCGCTCCCCCCCC